AGTTTAAAATCCATAGACGAAGCAAAAGCAAGAAGTAAGCGAATAGCTTCTAAACGTGCTACGGGTGCATAAGTTTCTTCGAAATCAATGCCTTCTTCTTGATTGTAGCCTTTAGCTACGAGCCTAGCTTTGTTTCTAGTGATTATTCCATTTTCATCAAGTTTATTACGGAACACCCATTTCGTACCAATAATCGTACGATCATCGGGACTTGGCACCAATTCCCAAACGTCATTTCGTTTGAATTGGTTTAGCTCCTCTTGCATAGCCAAGGTCCAATGTTCATCGTTTATTGCTTCGGAAATGGTTGTAGGTTCAATTTGAGAAACAAAATCCATGTGTCCTACGGTGTCCCTAAGTGAGTTACGAGTACTTACCCCGCGGTTGATGCTGCCGATTACCTGGTCAAGCGAATGGTTCTTGTTTGTTCTCCATGCAATAGGAAGCTCGGTTGCTTCTTCTTCTTCTTCGTGTTCCGCTTGTTCTTCTTCCTCTTGTCTTTCTTCATCACCTTGGTTAGCTTCTTGAGGTATTTCCTCAGTTTGTGGCTGTGTGTTGGTATAAATTCCAGTGTTCTCCTCATCGTCATCAACGTGTATTCTCTCTAATGAATCTGCAAGATCGTTACAAATATCCTTTCTCGCCAAGCGAGGATTATCTTCGGAAAATTCAACGTGAGGAGACTCCTCAATAGTCAAGGTGCGTTTATTGAAGACTCTATAGGCCTTGCTACGTAATGAGTAACCCAGAAAAATTTCTTCATCCGACTTGGCATCAAATTTGCCTAAATTGTCTTTGCCATTGTTGTGAATAAAACATTTGCAACCAAAGACTTGAAGATGGGAAAGGTTTGGCTTTCTCCCTTTGTATAGTTCATAGGGCGTTTTCATGAGTATCGCTCGAATGACGGCTCGGTTTAACACGTAGCTCGCGGTACTCACGGCATCCGCCCAGAAATACTTAGGGATTTTTGCCTCATTGATCATAGTTCTAGCCATCTCTTCGAGACATCTATTTTTACGTTCCACCACTCCATTTTGTTGTGGTGTACGTGGGGCTGAGAAGTTATGATCAATGCCAAGTTCGTCACACAAATCT